CGATGAGTCTCTCTCTTTCAAGCATTCTTTCAAACAGGTTGTTGATAGCATCTACAAGGCTGCTTCCAATCAAGTCGATTTCCAAACAAAGGTAATTTTGGTTTTGTTTCTTCTCCGTATATTTGAGTTTAATTTATTTCATTGAGTTTTGATTGTTGTAAGCGTTTAATCTAACAATCTTGTCTATTGTATCGTTTATTTTTATGCCCCTGTTGTGTAAGATAAGCCATTTTACAGGTTTCCTAAAGTCTAAATGATGGTTTACATTGCAGTAAAAAAAAAGTTGTATCTCCCACCTTTCATAAGGAGCTACATAAAAACCTTGGTCCAAATGGAAGGATTTTGTTATGGAACAATGTAGTGGACACAACTCAACCGCAGTATTTTCCTTAATATAACCAGCTAAAAAAAATGGAACCTCTGTATGTAACATGAGTTCAACTTAGGTGATTATTTCTTAAAAAAAAAAAGAACAAAAATCTGGGCCTTTTACGATGGGATGAATCCATTGAAGAACAGGATATACTGCCTTTTTTCTCTGTTTGATCTTTTTGCTTAGACTTTCTTGCGTAAAAACTATAAGATTAAACCTTTGATTCTTCTGAATGTACACCTGACTTGCCTACTACTATTTTTTAAATCTGGGTTTATTTTGAAGTCTGTAACACTGGGGAACTGAAGATTGTTAGATCATCATCTTGTCTAGTGTTTGATTTATCAGTGTTTTTGGGTGTGGGTACATCTCTTGGTCTACTTTTTCAGTTTCTTGGATTTGTGAGAAAAGTGATTGCATTTAGTAACGCACAACATTGATATAAGACTGCTCATTAACTCAGTGTGATGCAAGATTGATTTATGGTTTTTTTAATGGGCTATGTAAGTATTGGCATTTCTCGCTAGTTTCCATTGATGCGGTGGTGGGTGTTCTAATAACTTTTCATTGTCATGGTGGTGACCTATTTGAAGGCTGTTGAAGTAACCAGTGAAGTGAATTCATGGGCTGAAAAGGAGACAAATGGCCTTATCAAACAGCTCCTACCTCCTGGATCAGTTGACCACACAACCAGGCTCATTTTTGCAAATGCCTTGTATTTCAAAGGAACTTGGGGTAAAAAGTTTGATCCATCGAAAACAGAAGACTATGACTTTCACCTTCTGAATGGGAGTTCAGTTTGCGTTCCTTTCATGACCAGTATGGAGAAGCAACTTATCGGTGCCTACGATGGTTTCAAAGTTCTAGGGCTTCCTTATAAACAAGGTGGGGACAAGCGCCGATACTCAATGTATTTATTTCTCCCAGATGCAAAAGATGGTTTGCAAGCTCTGGTAGAGAAGTTAGGATCTGGTTCTGGGGTTATTGATAATCATATTCCCCACAAACAAGTTGAAGTAGGTGACTTTAGGATTCCGAAGTTTAAAATCTCTTTTGGCTTTGAAGCTTCTAAAACTCTGAAGGAATTAGGACTGGTGTCACCCTTTTCCGAAGGAGGTTTGACAGAGATGGTGGACTCCCCAGTGGGGCAGGGCTTACATGTTTCGAGCATTTTCCATAATTCATTCATTGAAGTCAATGAAGAAGGAACAGAAGCTGCAGCTGCTTCTGCTGGAATGATAAGATTTCGCAGTTGTAGTTATATTGTTAATAAAATAGACTTTGTAGCTGACCACCCGTTCCTGTTCCTGATCAGAGAGGACTTGACTGGCATGGTTCTGTTCATCGGGCACGTTCTGAATCCATTGGAGGCTGACTGAAACTGGTATGGTGATACTAATTGTTGAGTTAATGAAATCTAACGAACTTACATCTATGGAAAGTGGGATTTTCTGTACATAGGTAATATTCAATGCCTGGACAATTCTATTCTAGGATATTGTGTGTACTTAGGTAATATCCAATGCCTGGACAATTCTATTATAGGATATTGTGTCTAAACCCTTGTTCGTTGTTATCCTCATGAAGCTCCCTTATCCTTTCTGTTCTGGTTCATGGATGAAGCTGATATTGGCATTAGACAGGGATATAAATGTGGTGATTATAGGTATATATCTAATATGTGGATGTGAGTGCTGTTTGTTGCGGAAAATTCTTATTTGCTGTTTGTATTAGACAGGGATAAAAATTCGTTTTTGATATTAGTACTATTTTATTTGAATTAGTTTCCATTAATTCTTTTCTTTTGCTTTTTTAGTTTTTATGCTTTAAAAAATTATGTATATTAGTTTTTTTCCCTTAAATTTTTATCAACGCATTTATTTAACAAATTCCTTCCTCCCATGTCTCTCCATCTTGACATGCAGTGTTTATTATTTGTTTATTTGATTGTTAATAAACAAAAACCTTCCTCAGCTCTCTCCTCCCTCCCATGTCTCCGTCTTCAATCCATTTCTCTTCTCAGTCCCATGGCTCATGTTTTCCCAATCTCAATCCCAATCCCAATCCCAATCCCAATCCCAGCCCTGATTGTGCGGGGCCTTCTTCAAAAAGGTAGCAGCCACGTGACATCCATATAATTCTCATCCCTCTGGATATATCTTCCTCTCTCTTCTTCTATGTTTGTGTGTGCTTTTAATCTTTTGGCCTGGGAGCATCTGGACCTTGTGGTGGGAAAGATGGTGAAAATTTCAAATTACAATGCTTCAGATCTGCAAAACCCGGACTCCATATACATACACACGCACATATATTGTTTTCTACTTACTCTTGCTTGTCTCGGTGCTTTTTGAAGCAGTGCTCTGAACAGTACATCTTGCGGGGAGGATTAAAGTTAATTAATTTTTGTACTTTAAAAAAATATCCATGAACAAGCAGTGAGGTAGGATCTTGTCTTCACCTTCACATATGTCTCGCCCTTTCTCTCTCTTTCTTCTCAAACTCTCTTTTTTTTTTTTTTTTTTATATGAGAAAGTAGGTTTGCATTCCGAGTATATACTTCTTATCATAGGAAATTTTTTTTTTTTTTTTAAAAAGTAAAAAATAATAATTTCTATGAAGTGGGTCTAAAACAAATCTAATTTTTAACTACGTAATTTCAATTATAAACACCTTTTTATTAGTTAATTTTAGAAAAAAAAAAAACTGATTAATAAAATGTTAAATAATAGTAATTTTAGCTCAACTTGTTTACAAGTCAATCATAGTGGAAAGCGTGAGGTAAATTGTAATTTTCAAGTAGTTTTCCAATTCCACTTTGCCAAAACGTAACCCACATGCCTTGTCGTCTCATCTGCTGTCTGCTTACTGGATCAATTAAAGCTAAAGCTAAAGCTTGACTCGACAACAATTTCAATCTAGATTCGCCCTACTGCTCTGCAAAACTTGAAAGAAATGTATTCCATAAAACTGTTGATTTTTTTAATTTTAAATCTTAAATAAATAAGAGTTATAAAATTTTATTTTTGAATAAAAAATTCAGTATAATTACATAAAATATCAAGCTAGATTTAAGATTGAAAGATATTTTAGATCCGGACAACACAGCACATGATCAGCATATGTAAAAAGTATGGCTGCTTCAGAAGAATTTCAAAGAATGGCATTTTAGTAGTTAAACAGAAAGGTCAGGGACGAAAATGGAAAATATCTAAACATGGGAGAGATGGAGCTTGCTTAGGCTTTTTGAAAGGACCTGTACTGCCCGCACATCACATCATTTAATAATCGTAGTCTTCATTTATTACTTTCAGATTTCAATTATATACATATGCATACACGCAAATGGGTATGTATCATAGTTTTATAATGGTATATATTTATGCTCCTCGGTTCACGACAACCTTAACGTAATTCTAACTCCCTCCCAAAACCCAATTCTCTCTCTCTCTCTTATCTCTCACTCTGTGTTTCAGGTTCCTGAAAGTTATCATTTCTCTTTTAATTTGCAAGTGTTTTTAAAGTTTTAAACGTAAAATATAAATGATCCGTCCCGGTTTCTTTATTCTAATCTGATAAAAATTTAATATTTTAAAAAGTCTGCTAATTTACCATCTCCCCTTTTTGGAAGAAGACAAAACTACTTTATTAAACATTTCTTTTCCCCATCTTTATCTTTCTCCTTCGTTCTGTCGGTGTGATTCAAAAGTTTTATCGAAAACAAAGGTTCAGACTTCCCTGCTTTTGAAATCCAACAACACAGAATAAGAAAGAAGAAGAAGAAAAAAAAAATGGTCGAAACAGGAAACTATCAACACCCACCGGTGGCAGCGCCACCAGTACCCCATGCCACCCCACCACCACCTGGACCGCCACCCCTTGCTATCTCCAGGGGACCCACTTGGACTCCTGCCGAGCAGCTCCACCAGCTCCAGTACTGCATCCATTCCAATCCTTCCTGGCGTTAGTCTCTATCTCTCTCTCTCTCTCTCTCTCTTTCCAGTTTTGGTTTTTACTTACTATTGAGTAGTTTATACTTATCTGATTATTTAATTCGAATTGAAAGCTGGGTGAAAGTAAGAATTTTATGATAAAAGGTGAAAGATTTCTTTTAATATTTCGTCTATTTTTTATATATGGTTTGCTGCATGTCACTATCTATATTGTGCGGTTTAAGAGATTAACAGATCCAATTCATGTTGACTTTATAATTATTAATATTCTTTTAATTTTTCTTTTCATGTTAATCGTAATTTTGTTGCCAACTTATTTTCTATCCCTGATTCTGATTCTCTCTTTGATTCGAAACTGCGACGGACTTTGGTCTCATTTTTTTTTTCTGAAGTCCATTTCTTCTTGCTATCCTGAATTTTAACATAATTATTACTAATAGTAATTAAGTGCTTATATCAGTGTAATAGCAAGGAAGATATAAGTATTTTGTACAGGAGTACAAGTGATTTGGGTTGGTATCCCGTAAATTTTTATGCTATAATTTTCTGATAAAAAATTGAAATTGACCACTTAATTTATAGTGTTTTTCAACTAACTTGTGCTGTACTATGGGGATGGAAATCCTAAAAACCAGGAGTTTACTCTTGTGCTGAACTGAAATCTCAAATAAATATAATCTTGCTGTTTCTGCTACAAAGTTTACGTTTTTCTGATCATAAATAAGTTGGATTCTACAGCTGAAGCACTTTTGCTGGCTTTCCAACACTATATCGTGATGCTCGGAACTACTGTTCTAATAGCCAACACTCTTGTACCGCAAATGGGAGGAGACCATGTATGTTTTGTCAACAATTTTGGATTTTGTTAATATTGTTGAGTGTGATGCTTGGTCGTATATCACTTAGATGATGCATGAACAGGGTGATAAAGCCCGGGTGATACAAACTTTGTTGTTTATGTCTGGGATTAACACGCTGCTGCAAACACTTATTGGGACAAGGCTTCCTACAGTAATGGGTGTATCCTTTGCTTTCATTTTGCCTGTGCTGTCCATCATCAATGATTACTCTGACAGGCAATTCTCATCAGAACATGAGGTATGCAGAATTCAACGAATGATGTATCTATAGACTATGAGTAAGAAACAAGCTTTTAAAAAAAAGATTCTGTATTTTTGTGCATGTACTTAGATTTTTCCAGTGGTAATAAGCAAGTGGAATGCATGATGTTGTTACTTAAGCATTGATGAAATTCTTCATGTTGTATGAAAGTTGGGACCAGTTAGTTGATTTAAGCTTATGTAAAATACTTTCCAAGTTCATGTGTTGTATTGCGCAGGATCAAATGCTTCTTCTCAGGCATTAAACTTATTCTCACTCATTGACAGATGCAAATTTTGTCATTTGTTGTTTTGATGGATTTATTTCTATTGCTAGGTTCAAGAATCTTTATTTTCATGCCAGTTTACACAGTGATTTGAAGTGTATGCTTTGGTGACACCTTACCTCTATTGCCTTAAAATTCTTAGGTGCTGACCAAATAATTTCATGGTTTTGATGTGGGTGCTTGCAGAGGTTTCAACATGTTATGAGAACTATTCAGGGTTCCTTAATTGTTTCTTCCTTTATCAACATACTTCTTGGGTATAGTCAGGTGTGGGGGAACTTGACTAGGTAACGTGATCAGACTCTTAAGAGATTACTAAAGTAATTCCAGACTTTTCATTGATCTTCTTCAACTCTTTCATTTCTTTCCTTTTTCATTCACAAGAACCAACTTATTGGGTTTTCTTTTCTTAGTTGTTTTCTTTTTTTGTTTTGGGCAGATATTTTAGTCCCATTATCGTTGCACCGGTGGTTTGTGTGGTCGGTCTTGGTCTGTTCATGAGGGGCTTTCCACTGGTAATTCAGCTTTCTCATTGAGGACTGCATTCAAAATTTCTTTAATCATACCAAGAATAAAACTCAAAACCAGTCTCTGTTGTTCATGGCATTGGAATATTACTAAAGCACTATCTGACATTATTTGTTTTCTGTACAGCTTGGCAATTGTGTGGAAATTGGTCTGCCCATGCTGATTCTACTTGTCATTTCCCAACAAGTAATCTACCTTGTTCAATTAGTCCCATTTGATTTTTGCCACTCTGATGTTTCTTCTTTATAAATACAAAGAACTCCTTGTTTCGCACAGTATTTGAAGAATATCCACCCAAGGATTCATATGGTACTTGAGAGATTTGCTTTGCTTTTCTGCATCGGGATTGTCTGGGCTTTTGCTGCTATCCTCACTGTTGCTGGTGCGTACAACAATGTTTCACCGCTAACTAAACAGAGTTGCCGCACAGATCGGGCATTCCTTATGTCTACTGCTCCTTGGTATTTACAAAGACAATACAGCTATGTGTGTTTCATGGCATTGCAGTTTAATTTCATCTTGTGTTTGATGTTTTATAGGGTTAAAATCCCTTACCCATTTCAGTGGGGTACACCCATATTCAGAGCAAGCCACGTATTTGGGATGATGGGGGCAGCTCTTGTTTCATCTGTGGAGGTGCAACAGCTATATTTAATTTCACATTTAATTTGAAAACTTATATTGTCTTTTCCTCAGTTTGTGATCACTCTTGAAGTTTCCTGTTTTCTCAAACGAACTAAAAGCTTGGCTGAATTTTCTACACATGATGTAGACTCCAGAATTAAAAATACAATCCTAGAAACCTCTTGTCTTCGTCCTTGCAGTCAACGGGAACATTTTTTGCTGCATCACGGCTTGCAGGTGCCACAGCCCCTCCTGCACATGTCCTCAGCCGCAGTATCGGCCTGCAGGTCCTATTTTGGATCATTACAATATTATTTCTCATGTTTGTTTTCTTTTAAATTCATCCATAATTTACCTGGAAGCATTTGCAATGAAGTGGTGTTGTTTTATCATCTTCACAATTGTTGTCCTCTTGCAGGGTATTGGTATGCTGCTTGAAGGAATTTTTGGTTCTGCTGTTGGTACCACTGCATCCGTGTAAGCACGCGTACTTTTTTTATTTGCACAGTTATCCATTTGTCTCTGTTATAGCTTTTGAAATTACTTCAAAGGTTGAGCTCATCGATTCAACTCCGTGAAAGAAACGTCTCCATTTCCTGAAGCACTAAGTTAGATTACTTTGAAATTGTTCCCCTCCTGTTCAAACCTTCTATCAGGAAGTTAGTGTGTTTATCGTGCCACACAACTAATTTTAATCATGCTACAAATAGACTTCCATTTAAGTTTTGTGCCTATCTTTAGCTACTCTCTCTCATTCGTTTTGATTTAACCTTCACATATCGATCCCTCTGAAGTTGCTGTTCTTATGGCTTGGCAGTGTTTATTTGTTATTGAGATAATTTTTGTCACCTGTTGACGTTATTGCAGTGAGAATGTTGGCCTTCTTGGATTAACACACATAGGGAGCAGAAGAGTTGTACAGATTTCGACTGGCTTCATGATCTTTTTCTCCATATTCGGTTTGTCTTGGAACTTCCCTTCTTTGTTCCATCTGAAGTTTCTCTTTCAGTTTATAATTGATATTTGGTCGTCTAATGCCCATGTTTTTCAGGGAAATTCGGTGCCTTCTTTGCTTCTATTCCTTTGCCTGTTTTTGCTGCCATATACTGCATTTTGCTTGGCATAGTTGGTGAGTGTGTTAAGATTTTTTCGTCTTATGTATTTTAAGTATTATTAGATTTTATTTCAGCATTTCCTTTTTTCTTTTTAATTTTCTGCAGCTGCGATCGGGATCTCATTCATGCAGTTTGCTAATCATAATTCCATGAGAAACATTTACATTTTGGGTGTCTCCCTTTTCCTCGGGATATCAATATC